TATAAAGCGTGGAAAGACGGAATTTGAAAAGCAGATCAGCAGAAAATAAGAAATGCATGGTTATTGTTCTTGTTGTTATAACATTATTGCTATTATGATGTTTATCATTATTGTTATTTTTTACTATTGTTATTATCATGATGCTTATCCTTATAAACATTATTTCTCTACTATTACTATTTATTTTCATGATGCTTATTATTGCAATTGTTATTTCTCTACTATTACTATTATCATGTTTATCATTGTAATCGTTATTTTCTCTAATATTACTATTATCATGATGCTTATCATTATCATCATTAATTTTCTACTATTATTGTTAACATACTACTTATCATTATCATCATCTTTTCCAACTATTACTATTATTAGCATGCTTATCGTTATTATTTTTCTACTATTTTTATTAATATCATATATAATCATTATCATCATTATTTTCTAAATCAATGCTTTTTGTATGCTTAAAAAATTGTCATAATCATCATCATCATTATTATGTCTTATCATTATCATTATTGTTACAATTGTTATTGTTGTTATTACTGTTATTACTATTGTTATTCTTAATGTTATTATCATAAAAAATTGATAGTGATAAAAATCATTATTATCATTATCATACTATCATCATTATTATTATTATTATTATTATCATTATTATTATCATTATTATTATTATAATTATCATCATCATCACTATCATTATTATTGCTATTCAGATTATTATCATTGTTATTATCATTATTATCATTATCATTACCATTATCATTATAAACTTGTTTTATCACTAACATTATCTTCATTATTTGTTCATTATTAGTATATTATCATATATCATCATGGATATCATTATTTTATTATTATTATTACTAAATTCATTTTTTTTATTATCATTATTATATTTTCATAATTATTACTTTTGTTGTTGTTGTTGTTTCTGTTATTGTTAGCAATATTATCATCGTCATCATTATTATCATCATCACCATCATCATTATTGTTATTACTATTACTATTGTCAATATCATCATCATCTTCATCATCATTATTATCATTATTGTTAATATTTTTATAGTCATCATCATTGCCATTACCATTTACATCATCATTTTCACTATCACTACCGTTATTACCATTTGATTATCATCATCATCATCATTACCATTTCATCATTACTTTAATAATTATCGTTATTATTGTCATTATCCTTATTACTATTATTATCATTATCACTATCCTCATTATAGTTATTCTAATTATTCTTATCATTATCATTATTACTATGGTCATCAATAATCAACCATCACCATTATCATTACTGTAGTTATTATTTTCATCATTATTATTATTTTTTTATTTTATTTTATTTTTTTGCGCAGTTATTGAAACGCCTTCTGTCGTATAACATTTTATTGTTCCAAAAAAATCGATTTAAAATTTTTTATCGACATAAGCCTAGAGGCAATTCAGTTAGCAAAATCATGGGAATATTTTAATTCTGATCCAAAACCACAGCAAATCTATATTGAAAACATCCAAAATTAGTTTTGTACAAGTTAATATTATACAAAGAATGTAAATAATTAAATCAGGCGAATAAACATTCATAATACAGGTTGCTGAAACATGAATGAATGACATTGCTACCAACATTGTTACATCAATTTCCCGATTAGAATCAGAAAAAAAAAAATCATTTATACATATAAAATACACACACACACACACACACACACACACACACACACACACACACACACACACACACACACACACACACACACACACACACACACACATATATATATATATATATATATATATATATATATATATATATATTATATGTATGTATATATGTATATATATATATATATATATATATATATATATATATATATATAATATATATATAATACATACATACATACATACATACATACATACATACATACATACATACACACACACACACACACAACACACACACACACACACACACACACACACACACACACACACACACACACACACACACACACACACCACATATATATATATATATATATATATATATATATATATATATATATATATATATATATATAATATATATATAACTGGTACATATTCAACGAAGCATTAAACGCAAAATCTCTGTCTCTCTCTCTCTCTCTCTCTCTCTCTCTCTCTTCTCTCTCTCCTCTCTCTCTCTCTCTCTCTATATATATATATATATATATATATATATATATATATATATATATATATATATATATAATATATATATATATACTATATATATACATACTTATATAACTGGTATATATTCAACGCAGCATTAAACGCAAAATCTAAACACGAAACAAGCAAGAGACGATACCAATCCCTAAGCTTAACTGACACAACAAACCGTCAAGCTTCACACACAAGGCAATTCGTAAGCCTAACCCGTGTTTAAGAATATACAAAGGAAATATTGAAGGCGCCCTTT